GATGATGACTCAACATAAAAGTAAATAGATAGGCCCTTTGCAGAGGGAAGCAGGGATTTGCAGAGGTGCCAGAGCTCGAGTTTTGAAATAGAGATAAATAATATTTCGAGTGGCATACTTTCATTGTCAACATAACAACCAAGAGATCTTGATATCTTCCATGCTACACACATTATAGGCGGTTCCCAAACAGAATGGTAAAATTTATACTCCCCCACCACCAACAAACATCAATCCATGGCTTGTCCGAAACAACGGGCGTTGTCCAACTAACAACAATCCTGGGGGAGTTTTGTTTGCAATTATTTTGAATTGATTTGAGCATGGGACTGGGCATCCCGGTTACCGGCCATTTTCTCGTGAATGATGAGCGGAGTCCACTCATTGTGAGAATAACCCACCTAGCATGGAAGATATAGAAAACCCTAGTTGATACATGAGTTATTCGAGCATACAAAACAGAATTTCATTTGAAGGTTTAGAGTTTGGCACATACAAATTTACATGGAACGATAGGTAAATATCGCATATAGGAAGGTATGGTGGACTCATATGGAATAACTTTGGGGTTTATGGAAGCGGATGCACAAGCAGTATTCCTACTTAGTACAAGTGAAGGCTAGAAAGAGACTCGGAAGCGACCAACTAGAGAGCGACAACAGTCATGAACATGCATTAAGATTAATCAACAATGAGTGCAAGCATGAGTAGGATATAAATCACCGTGAACATAAATATCGTGGAGGCTATGTTGATTTTGTTTCAACTACATGCATGAACGTGTGCCAAGTCAAGCCACTTGAATCGTTCAAAGGAGGATACCACCCTATCATACCACATCACAACCATTTTAATAGCATGTTGGCACACAAGGTAAACCATTATAAACTCCTAGCTAATTAAGCATGGCATGAGCAACTATAATCTCTAATTGTCATTGCAAACATGTTTCATTCATAATAGGATGAATCAGGAACGATGAACTAATCATATTTACAAAAACAAGATAGGTCGAGTTCATACCAGCTTCTCTCATCTCACTCAGTCCATCATATATCATCATTATTGCCTTTCACTCGCACGACCGAACGGCGTGGATAATAATAATAGTGCACGTGCATTGGACTAAGTTGGAATCTGCAAGCATTTAATACAAGGGAGAAGACAAGGTAATATGGGCTCTTGGTTAAATCAACAATAATGCATATGAGAGCCACTCGACATTTTCATCATGGTCTTCTCCTCTCGACCCCCAAAGAATAAGAAAAGAAATAAAACTATTTACACGGGAAAGCTCCCAACAAGCAAAAGAAGAACAAGAAATCCTTTTGGGTTTTCTTTTAATTACTACTACTACATGCACGGAAAGTAAACTAGCTAAAAGCTATAACTTATTTTTTTTGTTTTTTCTTAAGGTTTTTCAAACACACAAGAATAAGGCTTAGAAAAGAAAATAAACTACCATGGATAGTACAATGAAAAAGTATGAGCACCGACAACTAGAATGATTGTGTGAACATGAATGTAATGTCGGTGAGAAATACGTTCTCCCCCAAGCTTAGGCTTCTGGCCTAAGTTGGTCTATGGCCACTGCTGGCCTGGCGGATATCCAAAGTCGTAGCTGGGGTTGTACTGAGATGCAGCAGCTACTGCCTGAAGAGCTGCAGCTTGGAGGCGAGCTGCCTTCGTCCACCTCTCATACTCGTTCGCCACCCCCTGGTTATAACATATCTCCTTTTTGCCTGAAAGTTAAACAAAGTAGGAGCGGGGAGGGCAACATGGACAGTGCACTGTCAGTCAAATATTAGTCGGTACTGGAGGAACTTTTTATTCCTCTCAAGAAACTGATGGCGAACCATAGCACTATAATCTAGATAAGCAGGAGGTAACTCCATATCATTTACATGTATGGGTACACCAAGATAATTAGCTACACGAGTTGCATAAATTCCACCAAACAAATCTCCACTTATACCGCTAAGATGCAACCTTCGTGCCACAATGGCCCCCAAATTATATTGTTTATCGCCTAATACCGTACTCTTGAGGACACAAAGATCTAGAATGCACATGTGACAAGCCTCATCTTTACCGTTAATGCATCTACCTATAAAGAGAGCAAAATAATGTATGAAAGGGAAATGAATGCTCCCTATGATAGCTTGTGTGATTTCCCTATATTCCCCCAAAGTGATACTAGCAAGAAAGTCTTTATATTCAGAATTGCGAGGTTCACTAACATTGCCCCACTGCGGGAGTTTACAAGCAGTATTAAAATCTTCTAGGTCCATGGTATATGATTTATCATAAAGATCAAATAAAACAGTGTGAGAATTGCGCGAGGATGTAAATTTAAACCTCCTCACAAAGGAATCAGTTAGGTAGTGGTACTTTAGGCACTTATCTGACACGAAGTCCTCAAGATCAGCATTACACACATACGCGTCAAATTCATCCTTGATGCCTGCCTAGACCATAAACTCCTCTGGCGGCCATTCACAAGGCCGCACTTGAGCTTCCCTCGGTGGTTCATCGTCCGACTCACGTATCGCGAGCCTTGGTCCTTGCTTCCTTGAGGAACCACCTTGGTACATTTTCCTATGCATTTTTTTTCTCTGAAAAATTTCTGAAATTTTAGTGACTCAAAATAAAAGTGAACCAAACTCAACAAGATTGATAGCAACTACTCCCACAAGTGTCTAGAGGCTATATCATGCATTAAAACTACTTTGGACCATATAAATTTGACATGCAAGCTCAAGAACATGGTCACCTTAGCAGCAAAAAATTGCAATAAATAAAACACTAGAACAAAAACTAATTGAACCATTGGAGGAGTCACATATCGAAGAACAATCTCCCCAAATAGTTTTGTGAATGGAGCTTTGAGCAGAGAGATCGAAAATGGCAGCAAGATGAGCTAGAACACGGGTTTGAGCTATGAGAGGATTTTTCTGGAGGAAGACGAAGTGAGCGGGTGCTGGAATAAGTGGATGCGGTCCATGTGGGGCCCACGAGGCAGAGGGCGCGCCCTAGGGGGTGGGCGCGCCCTGTGCCCTCGTGGCCAATGGTGGGGCCCCTGGTGTGTTCTCAGTGCCATAAATTCTTAAATATTCTACAAAAAATCAAATTTCATTTTCAGGACGTTTGGAGAACTTTTATTTTCGGGGTATTTTTATTGCAAGGATAATTCAGAAAATAGAGAGAAAATACTATTTTTACTTTATTTAATGTAAATAACAGAAAGTAAAAGGAGGGTACAGAGAGTTGTGCTTTCTAACTTCATCCATCTCGTGTTCATCAAAAGAAATTCACTAACAAGGTTGATCAAGTCTTGTTAACAAACTCTTTCTGAACCGCATGAAACCAGAGAATTTTCGAATAACACTAGATTATCTCAACGGGGATATGCATGTCCCCAATAATAAGAATATCATATTTCTTCATGAGAGTATGAAGAGGGAATTCAAAACCTTCAATAGTAATCGTTGAAATTTTTCCAATAGAATTGATATTGTGGACTTGAGATTGTTTCCTCGAAAAGTGTACCATATGATCATTACCATTAGAGCATGGTTAATAGTATAGCCAGCTGCTGGCTATAAGCCAGTGCCATGTCATCTACAGCCCATCTTATAGTCAACATGTACAATAGTAGATCAAAAGAGTGTACTACTTTTTTATTATGTGGCCCACCTTTCATTCTCACAAAGTGTCTAGGAGCACGTGCTAGAGCTGGCTCTTCACCAAGAGCCCGCTTATCTTCTCTCTCCTCTTCTCTTTCCTCCAACTAAGCACAAATATATTGGTTTATTCCTTATAGCCCGCTGACTCAGCTCTATTGTACTTGCTCTTAACATGAAAAGTGACATTACCTAGGGCAGCTCATAGCCACCGCACTCCCTGACGGGGTCCTTGCTGAATGTGTGGGGTTTCGGGTCCTTAAAAGTTTTCCTGTGGATCGCGCTTCAGGCGAGGCTTCTTAAACGTGAGCTATGGTGCACCACTCTCGGTGTTGGAGGTACACGGTGATGTGTTCGTGTGTGAGCAAAATCATATATATTTTTGCCAAAATTTAGATTAAAGTGGTAGCCTTTTGTTGACGTTTTGAAAGTGGTAGTTCAGTGGGATACAACCGTGAATGTGATTATTTTTTTTCAAATACGCATGAGTATATGTATCATTCATTGTAAAAGGAAGGGGAAGAAGCTCCCCGAGGTCACATTTACAATGTTTATTTCCATGTGAAATTTATCCCACACCACCCAAGCTTCTACTACGGACTACTGCCTCATTGCCCACTCTACCGGGTCTACATCCAACCCTTGCGCCTCGCCCACACCACCCAATGTGAATTTTTTTTCTTGTTAATCACATGTTAAGCTTCCCTCTTGTGACTCAAACAATTTGTGTTTGTATTGCCGTGACCTCACGATCTTCTACCATAGTTTGGGTTACCCGCGATTTGACGTGCCATACTAAAATATCTGAGCTCCTGTTGTTCGCAAGAAAACAGAGCAGAGAATCTGGTTTCATGACCTGTCCAGTTTTGTTAGCCATTAAATTCGGCGGTAAAAAGTAGACAGAAATGCTAATACAAACCAGTTGATCACACTGTAGGCTGCTTGCCTGCTGACAGGCTGACACCGATCAGCGTCTCCTCTTCCACTTTTTTTTTCTGGTCTGGATTATAGCGTCCTCTATGCTGGAGGCATCGCTGTGGCTGGGCCCACGCAACACCCAGCGGCAGGACCTCAGATCTCCAAAGTGGGGCCACGGCCCATGGCCGCTGGGCCCAGACTTGTCCTCCACCCCCCACGGCCACGGCCACGGCTGCTTCCTGCTATATAGCGTACCCCGTTACCACCGTGTCCGCCCGTCTCCTTCGCTCTCTGCCGTTTTTCTCTGCCTCTCGCGCACGAACTCCCCGCTCCCCGCATCCAAAAGCCAAGACGCACCGGGGAAAGCAGCCGCTCGCCGAGGCGAGTCGGGCCGTCGCGATGGTGGATGTGGAGCACCGGATGGCGGGCATGGCCCCGGCGGCGCACGCGGCCGGCCTGCGCCGCCTGTCCACGCGCGCCGCGGCCGGCCCTTCCTCGGCGTCGGCGTCCCCGCGCCACGGGCTCTACTCCTTCCAGGGCGTGGCGTCGTCCGTGCTCTCGCACCTCCGGGCCTCCGGGGTGGCCGTCCTCCCGGGGCTTTCGGAGATGGAGCTCGCCCGCGCCGAGGCCGAGATGGGGTTCACCTTCCCGCCCGACCTCCGCGCCGTGCTGGCCCTCGGGCTGCCGTCGGGCCCCGGCTTCCCGGACTGGCGCTCCCGCGCGGGGCTCCGCGCCGCGTTCGACCTGCCCGTCGCGGCCGCGTCGCTCCAGATCGCGAGGGGCGCGCTGTGGCCGCGGTGCTGGGGGAAGAGGCCGGCCGACTCCGACCGCGCGAGGCGGCTCGCTCGCTCCGCCATACGGCGCGCGCCGCTGCTGGTGCCGCTCTTCGACCGCTGCTACCTGCCCTGCAGCCCCTCCCTCGCCGGGAACCCCGTGTTCTTCGTCACCGACGACCGCGTCCTCTGCTGCGGCCTCGACGTCGTCCACTTCTTCACCCGGGAGTCGTCCTTCCAGCCCATGGACATCTCCTCCCCGTTCGCGGCGATGCCCTCTTCCGGCACGAGCACGCCGTGCACGCGGCGCAGCCTCGACGCGGCCTGCGGCGGCCAGGCCCCACGCTGGATCGAGTTCTGGAGCGACGCCGCCTCCGACCGGCGTCGCCGCGACTCGTCGTCCTCTGAGGCCTCCACCGCATCCACATCGTCGTCAGGCTGCTGCTCGCCACCTCGGAGGTCGACACCGCGCTGGGTCGACAACTACCTGGACAAGCTCGGATCGGTGCTCAAGAAAGGTGGCTGGAGGGACAGGGAGGTGGACGAGATGGTGGAGGTGGCAGCGTCGGGGATGTTCGACGGCGAGGAGGCTCCGCCAGCCGCCGACGCGGAGGCCGTGCTCGACACACTCCTGCTGAAGACGGACCGGTGCTCAGACTCGCTCAGGCGGGCCGGGTGGAGCTCCGAGGACGTGTCGGACGCGCTGGGGCTGGACCTCCGGCGGTGCAAGGAGCCGCACCGGTCGGCCGTGCGAGTGCCCCCAGAGATCGCCGCCAAGGTCCAGCGCCTCGCGCGGACGGTGGCGCGGTCGTGACCAGCTGATCTCGCCGGAGGCGTCGGCGGTTAATCTTTCTTCTTTCTTTTCCCCTCGAAGGAGGGGGAAATCGATTCGATTAAACAACAACACTTGTATGTCACTACTACTAAGTGAGAAAAGTAAACGAGGCCATGTTCGCGTACGCAAGTAAATTAAGCCTTGTCCACGTGCATGATGTACCGTCAATTGCAGAGAACACAACGCCCCAGAAATTAACGCTGTTCTTCCGAGGGATCCATCCAACCCTTGTGTTCCCCTCCACGGATGGACGGTATCTTTTTCCCGTGTGCATGTGGTGGATACCATACCGTTAGGGCCTGGCTGTGTGGAATCTTATTCATTTACCAACCACGATGGGTGGGTGGTGCAGCTGCATGATGCCTTTGCAGTCACTGGTATGGGTATATAGTATCCACAAAGAGATTAACCAGATCCTGCGAAACTTCGATGCATCCATCCATCCAATGATCCAACCGTGAGGGATCACGCGAGAACTTACAGGATCACGCGCTCGCGCTTTACAACGGCTAACCCCATTTGCATTAGCATCAGTTGACCAACTGCCAAGAGTTCGGGCTACGCTTTACAGAGGGTACGTACGTGCGTGCGTGCATGCTTTCCTTGGGTGCTCAGCATGCTCCTCCTCCAAGTTGCATTGCATGTCTGCAAACCAAGCAAGAACATCTCAACATGCATCGTGCGCTCAGTGGCTGGCGGTAACTAATTAGTAGCAAGCAATCGCCCTGCTTTTCTTTTCTTTTCTTAAGCAGGGGGGAAGGGACATCGGGAGAGGATCAGGAGGCACGCCCGTCCCTTTCCTTGCCTCGCGCCACGGCGTGCTCGTGCTCGCCCCAAAAGGAAGGCTTTGTCCCGTTGTCATCGCCGGGCCGGCGGGCAACTTGCATGGCTGCACACGCGCGGGCGGCCCGTGGGCGCGCCCGCCGCTGGCCGTGGCCGCACCGTGCGCGTACCCCGTGAGGGCCGTTGAGGCGTCGTACCGCCGTGCTACGTGAACAAGGCTGGCGCCCTCGACGACACGATCGGCGGCCTCGCTTTTGCTTGTGAGCGATGGACAGCTTTGTTGCCGGTCACTTGAGTTCTGTGCGCGCGCGCGTCCTCTTTTAATGCGCCGGCGTGACCACCGCCGGACGGACACGGAGCAGGTTAATAAAGCCGCCCGCTCCGCGGTTGGCGCCCACCCCCCGTGCACGCACGCATGCATACCCGTGCGCGCGCGCGCGCGCACCGCACGAAGCCGCTCTGGCAGACGTACGTGGTCCTGTGCGTGTGTACGCGCGGCCGCTCGCTGCCGCCGCGCTCTGGAGAAGCGTGGCGCTGTCACGCCGATGCCCTGCCGCCATGGCAATGGTTTTGTACTCTTGCGACCAGCCTTTACCCAAGGTAACAACACACACGGCCGAGGCACGGGGTTAACTTAATGCCGCCTATTACCGTCCAAGGAAAACTTAATGCCGCCTATTACCGTCCAAGGAAAACTTAATGCCGCCTTTCCAGAGCACGGACACCGGACATAGCAAGCTCAGAAGCTCGACCATGACTTGGCCATCATGCTGCCAAGGAGTTCGATGAGATTTTAGCGGGGGTGCAAATATTTCCAGTTGCACGGCCTATCACGGCGGCTGATTAGTCCGTGACGGTAGCTATTTTTTAGTGCTGCTCCAGCAATGACCCCCCATAGTGTGATGTTAACATCCTTAAAAGATGGAGATCAGCTGTCCGCATCTTTATCGGCTCTCTGGTGGCTCTCCTTACCTCCCGAGCCGGCGTCAGTAATTATGCCGAGCTAGCATGGACGGTCGGGAAGCCGATCTGATCTCGTCCCCTCTAAAAACACTTGCGGCGAAATTTCCTGCCACTTGACGCGATATTTAACTCGCCCATCCATGGGATTAGTAGGAGTAGCACGTATTAGTATAGTAGTACACTAAATAAAGCCCGCCTACCTTTCAGCAGACAAAATCTGGACTTATTACCCTGTCGCACTGGACACTGCACACCGGGCTTGTCTGTGAGCCCTTGGCGTTGCCGCGAAGAAAAAGAACGTGGTACCTACGAGCGACCGAGCTTAGCTCCAACCACTGCTTGTTAACGGACGAACACGGACCGTCGCATTAATCAAAACGGGCTACGAGTTCCAGGCCCAGCAACCGACAAATCCCGTGGCACCTTCTTATCCCGAGCCCAAAGTCCATCAGAAATCGCATTCTTTCCCCCGTGGTCCTTCGCCCACTATAATCTCATCTTGGTAGCGAGTCGTTCGTGCCGTGCCGGGGGCTGTTCATACCTGGTTTTCTAACGCCGCCGAGGGCTCAACACGGATTAATTTGGCTCCAAAGCGGCGTGGCGCGTACGGGGAGACGGGTTGTCAGTTTTTAACGCCGCAAGGGTACAGTGCGGCGTGGCGCGCTTTGCATGGCGGGGGAGCACACGCCCAACAAAGCACCGTCTCGTTCCACTGGAAAGTGGGCCGAAACCATATCCAAAGGCCGTGTTGTACGTACGGGCTCATATTTTGCGTCCCTGGACCACGGCCACCAGCTGCTGCTGCGTGCGTCGACGCCGGCACCAGCTCGCCCGCCCTCGTACCCCCATTAAAAGTATCCGAGGTACAGGCCACGGCGGTGGAGCTCGTGCACGGGCTCGCATTGTCAAGTTGTAGTACTATCTACTCCGCCCCGATCCATCCTCAGGGGCCACTCGGCGCGAGCGAGGGAATTACTAACTTGCAGAAACGGACGATGTTCCTGGACCTGGACCACCATGCACGCTAATTTACGCGGCTAGGTAGTACGTACTACTGACCCTGAGTAAAATATAAGTACATATCGGCGTCCATTGATGCAGCTGATTAAACAAATGTAAATGCTGCTAGAGTGCCAATCTGATGCTGGGTGCGGGCGCGAAGCGAAGCCTCGTCGGCGGGACAGACAGAACCAGGTCACCGTGCCGGCCCGATATTCCCCCAACGAACGACCGTGATATCTGATACAGTATGCGTGTGCGATGGCGCGGATCGTATAATGTCGAGCCACGGGCGCGTAGGTGCGGCTCCGGGGGCTGTACTGTAAAGCGCGCGCGCTCCGTCCGGCCGGGCGATCGGGGCTGGGATCCTTGGCCCTCCGCACACTCCAGCAGCGAAGCCAGCTCCCCCGATCCGATCGGTCCTGAGATGGCGACGCCGTGCCGCTGTAAAGCGCGCGCACGGCCGAGGCTGCCATGGACGCTTCCGGCCGCGGGGGAGACACCGGGCGGCAAGGGGGGACTAGTTTTAGCGGCGTTGGCGCGGGGCGGGAGGGACACGATCTTGCCGCGGCGCCGTGGTGCCGATACGGGCCAGCCCACGGCTGCCGCTACCGTCCCTGTAAGTTGGCAGCGGCACGCACGTACCACCAGGGAGGAAAGAGGGCCTCTGCATGGCTTGTGAGTGAGTGAGTGCACGTGCAGTGGGGGAGGCGAGGTGGACCAGAGAGCTCAATAATGAGGGGGCTCGTGGCGCTGCAGGTGGTGGCTCTGGCTCGCTCGCCGGGGGAAGCAGAGGAGCGGCAGCGGGCGTGATTTGATTCGGTCACAGCTCGGCTTTGTACGAGCTTTCGGGGGCGGAGACCACACATACAGTAAGCCTTTCAGTGAGGCTCCTGGCCATACTGCCATGAAGCCCGGGCTAACTTTGCGTTCTCTTTGCAAAATTAGATGTAAGAAATCGGGTAAGTATGTATTCCCAGGTAAGTATGTATTCCCTCGGTCCCAAGATGAAGTTGAGTCACTTATTTTGAAACTCCCAAAATAAGTGACTCAACTTTATCTTGGGACCGAGGGAATACATACTTACCTGGGAATACATACTTACCCGATTTCTTACATCGAATTTTGCAAAGAGAACGCAAAGTTAGCCCGGGCTTCATGGCAGTATGGCCAGGAGCGTGACTCAACTTTATACTAGCTTTGGGATGAAGGGAGTACAAGAAACATACTTTGCATTTTTTTAATGAACACCATTGCAGCGTGACGATGGTGCAATGTGCTTGTCGTGCCACGTGTCCCGTCGTGAGCCTGGGAGATCATAGGACACGGCGACACACCGAGCCAACGTTGATGAAGTACTGGCGCATATCAGTGTCGTAGACACTATGACACGAACAAGATAATATTTTTTTTGTGAATAACAGCAACGAGATAACTAACAACATACCCTTGTTATTTTTTCTCATATCAAGGAAGTTTGAGATTTATATAAACTATGCATCTTCCTAATTCATGGTCTACCAAGGCGGATGTCTGGTTATGATTTTTTTTTGAAACGGAGGCAAATTTTTTGCCTCATCTCATTAATTAAGAAGAAGAATGACAAGGTTCTAGTGTTTTATGACCACAAAGAGGGATCACTCTTTTGGAATTAATTTTTCCTACTATTAGCCCCGACAATGACCAAATTTTCGCCCCATCCTTGATTGACGAAACCACACGGGTCGGTAAAGATGCCTTGTTTCGAAAAACTCTTGCATTTTTTTCGTTCCAGATTGCCAAACAAACTAGCATCTTCATAAAAATTTGAATGCCTTGCTGGTTGTTCTCGGTTGTGCATAAAAAAGATATCATACAACTCATGGAAGACAACATCAAGTGGTGATCATCATCAAGATTGCGGTGTGCGAGTTCAAGTGGAGCATCACGAAGAGATCATGCTTAAAGATTGTCGTTCATTATGGTGACAATGGACTTATAAAGATGTGCCAAAGAGTGAATCACCCGTAGTGGAGTATGGAGGAGCAATCTACTAGTCTTCTTCGAGCCGGCGCAATCAAGAAAGGTGGTCCAACTTGAGGAGTACAAGATCGTCATCATCGGGCTCAAGTGGGTTATGCGCAAGGCAAATATTTGGCCTTGATAGGTTCTCTATTTTATCGGTCTCATGATGTTAGTTGAGAGACCGAGTTATAAGATCGATAGTCGTACTATCAAGGGGGGCTCTCAAGTGA